CTGGCTGCAAAGTACGAGGTGGTGGTGTTCACGGCGGGGCTGAGGGAATACGCGTCGCTCGTGATCGACCGGCTCGACAGGAAGAGCCTAATTGCTCACCGGCTCTACCGCGACGCCTGCAAGGAGGTCGACGGGCGGCTCGTGAAGGACCTCTCGGAGTCGGGGAGGGATTTGAGGCGCGTGGTGATCGTGGACGACAATCCAAACTCCTACTCGTGCCAGCCGGAGAACGCCGTCCCGGTGAGGCCGTTCGTCGACGATCTAGGCGACCGCGAGCTCGGAAAATTGGTAGGGTTTTTTGAGGGATCTGATTGTTTTGATGACATGAGGGACGCTGTGAGGCATTATCTTGCTTATGGAAATGAAAAATTAGAGACTTTGCAATTGTAATCTCTTTTTCTCTCTTTTGGATGGGGAGTTGATTTGTATTGAGAATTCAATTTGTTGAACAAGTAATTGTTCAAATGTTAAGTGAAAGCATAATGAAACTCCAGGAATAGGAATAACATATTCTTTTTGACTCTTTCTTCTAACAAAATCATTCTGATTTATACCCTTTGTTGTCGAATTTTGTTTAAAAAGCTGATCATGGTGGAAATGATGGAAAATGAATTAATTATTAAAAAAAAAAAAAAGATGATGAAAATGGATCGATACATTACTTGTTTAGTTGTTTACTCGGAATATTATCTTTAACAAACCCACAATTAAAAATAATGAGATTAACCAAACGAATTTTACAACTAGTTTAGGCTCGTTTATTTCACAGATTTGAGTTTAAAATTTGAGTTTTATTACAATAAAAGGCTCTAAAAAATAATCACATTTAACTTTTTTACTATAGTAAAAAATTTTCATGTCCCAATTTAAATTAAAAACTCAAATCTAAACGGCCGTAGTGTTTCCTGATGCTGGGACATCGCCTCCCCTCTGTCTTTGAAGGGTGAGTTGGTGTTTAGCTTCGTATTTGTCGTTTGTTAATTATGTGATAAATGACTTATCGTTTGGCTTTGTTTCAATGTCGTTTTTTCGGCTTAGTTTCTTGTCTGCACACTATACTTCTTCCCTAAAAGCCGTGTTTCTTTTATGTTAGCGGCCGGTAGATGTAGCCCTGATGGTTTCTTTCCGTAATCAGTTGTAGATGATGAATCAAGATCAAGGCCTTTTAGAGAAGAAAGTCATTTCAAGTAAGTAGCTTTCTTAATTAATAAGAATATATATATATATATATATATATGAATATGAGAAAATTGTTGAAGTTAGAGTTTGCATTTTTACGCCTCATTTTTGTTTAATACCTTTTAATTAATGTAATTATTTAATTAAAAAAGATATTAATCAAGAATAAAAGATAAAAATTCAAATTATACTTTAAATGGTATTGTATCCTTTCCCCTTTTAATATTTATGAGATTGGTATGTGTAACTATGGCAAATTATTTGGTTGTGTTGAATTGGTCACACTCATCAATGGTTCGTTTTTATAGAAAGCAATTCTCTCCTTTATTTTTGCTGATATGATGCACCATTCATAATCATCAGATTGCACAACCTCTTAAGAGCAGTAATGCTATAATTGGTAAATTTAGTATTTGAGTGTAAAAAATACTTTTTAATATAATGTTATTTATTGTGTTAAATTTCTCATATTCTATATATTTTGTGATAAATTTCCCACTAAATATAGCATATGAAAAATTTGACATTTAATTGCTATTAGTTAAAATATATAGTTTTTCATGTAATTAATGCAACTTTTACATTTTTCAATTATTTTAAGGAACTTTCTCTGGTGTTCCTTCCTTTTTAGGAGCACCTGTGTTCTCTATTTATCAACCGTTAAATCTGTATTACTTTTTCAACCTGGTCTTGAGAAATTCTCTTATTTTAAACATAAAAATTTACTTTTCTAACTTTTAAAGCTTAATAATTATGGGAAAAAAGTATGTTATTTCAAAAAAAAAAAAAAAAGTAGATTTAACATTTTAAATAACATTATGTATTGAAATAAAAATGAAAATAACATGTGATATCACATTTTTTTTTTATAAATATACAATTAGCATTAACATTTCCGTTAAAGATGGTCTTAAATGAGTCCTGATCTTCATCAAGCTAAGAGAAAGAAAATGATTTCTTTTTGTTCAATTCAGTTTCATACATTGACCCGGTTTAGTATTGATGATCCCCATGCCATTATCTTGAATGGCTTCTTAATTCTCACTTTACAGGTTTAGATAAGCTCTAGTCCCCAGGAGAAAATTGTGAATGCTGGAGATTAGCATTTTAGCATCAAGTCCAAATAAACAGCCACTAATAGTAACTGCAAAGCTGAATTTGCCAAAGTCCCAATCTCCAACTGTGAAGTTAACATTTTCCCAGATAAACGATTGTTGATTATTAAGTTCCTAGACGGAGTATTTATAAATGAAAACATCATCATAATGTTTTTACAGTTGAACTTTACAAGTTACATGTCTGCATCAGTTATAAGCCTAATTTAGCAGCTTCAATGGTCGTAGAAGAACCTTTTGACTTTCACTTTAGGAACAAATGTTGCAACTCAAAGAAAGATAACTAAAAAGAAAGATAACTACAGAAACAACTGATTCTTTACCTATTAAAAAAAAAACACTGGGATCCGTCTTAAACATCTCTTGCCAATTCACAGTAAAACGTGATAGATCTAAATCCTTCTCAATTTCATATATTTTCTCAGCAACCAACCAGAAACACGCCCCCCAAAAAAAAGGGAAAAAAAAAAGAAGACCTTGTATCAAACATCCATTGTAAGAAGATCCAGCTTAGTAATAGAATCAGATAAGAGTACAGCCCCAGAAAACAGCAAGACAAACAAGATCGATGCTTCTCACCCACTATTTCAATTTCGAAAAATCAAAAAAAAAAAAATTTGAGGGGGGAAAAGAGCAAAGATTTAACTACAGGAGAAGACCTGGTCAGGCAAACGCAGAGCCTCGGACTTGGAGAAGCACATGTCGTCGAGGGCGTTGCTCCGGCACCAGCGGCACTTCGGGTTCTGCGAGCAGAGAGACGGCGACGACATGTCGTTGCAATTCGGGATCTGATTGGAATTTTGACCCGATGAAGTTGAGCGAGAGATGGCGTGGGACGAGCAAAGCTGTGTCGCAATGAGGACGAGGATTAGTAGAAGTGGGACTAAGATAGGAACCCGCCGGACTTGGATTGAAGCAGCCATGGACAAAGATTGACTGACACCGGTTTCCTTTGGGTCGCTTGGGTTGGGAGGTTAATCTAAGGAAGAAAAGATATCGGTCTGTTTGTTTGCGCTTTCATTTTTAATTTTTCACGTTTTTTGAAATTAAAAAATGAAAACATTTATATAAAATATGTTTGGTATAAAAGTTTTTAAAAAATAAAAATAAAAATATTTTTATCGTGTATTGAAAATTTAAAGACGGATTAAATCTGTTTTTCATTTTTCATTTTCAATTTCATTTTCTACCTTCATTCTTCTCTCTTCTCCGACTACTTTCTTCAGAGCTCAAATCATGACAGTACGGATCTCATCTGCTCCGGCGTCAATTGCCGGCGTGAGGAAGTCAGTCCCGTGGAACGGCAGCAGCGGTGGGTCGACAGTGATAGAGTGTTCGTCTCGGCCCAACAAGAAGGCGACGGCCCACCACATGAAGACTTGGCCGAAGAAGACGCAGGGACATCTAGCGAAAGCCCACCATCTACGCTCCTCTCTGACTGGCCCGCCACCATCTTCTCCGACTGCCCGCCACCGTCTTCTCCGACTGCCCCCTCTTCCGACTGCACCCCCCCCCAACTCCTCTGCGACTGCGGCCCCTCCCACTGGCCCCCCCTGCAGTTTTAGTTTTTTTATAACTGAAATCAATCTCAAAATAAAACTACCAAAACACATTTTAGAAATATTTTCAAAACGAAAATGAAAACGTTTTCATTTCCATTTTCATACAAAAAATAAAATCATTTTGAAACCAATTTCAAACGCACCCATCATACTTTCCAAATATGTTTTATAAAATTGGTATTTGGAAAGCGACATGTCGTTTTATGCCAACATTTTATTTATTTATTTACTTATATCGACTAATAGGAGAAACAACAACAAAGGCGTCTCATTTAATATTAAATTACTATCTTATTCCTACTTTACTTATAAATATATAATTAAAAATAAAATACAAAATATAATAAATACCACTTATATTTATTATTTTATTAACGTAAATATTATATATTAGTCTAAATATTATCAATTTTAATATAATAATTGCTTATCTTGTTTTCTATTAAAATTACTAATATATTTTAATTTTTCACTTTATTTTTTATTTATTTTATTTAAAATTTGAAATTTTATTTTTATATTTTAAATAATTATCCAATTTATATTTGGTATTTTATTATCCTAATCTTATAATAACTATAATTAATTATGATTAATATTATTATAATAATACATAATTTATTTGTTGAATGAAATATATAAAATTTATTAAAAAGATATATTAGTACTTTATAATAATTCGTTTCAATTTTGTGTTACAAGTAAGGTAATGTTTAGTCCATGAGTTTGGAACTATAATTCATTATTCTAATTTTTAAAATTTAAATTTTTATAAAAAAAATATTGTAACAAATCAAGACTAAGCCAAAACTCTTCAAATAAATGGAACATAAATAAACAACTTCTAATTTCACTCACCATTCTGATTTACGCCTTGGTAAATGGTATTCTTGAAAAGAAAGGAAAAGATAAATTATGAAATTCGTTTTTCATCTTCTTTGGAAGTATTTATGAGTTGTTTGGTTGGGGGATTCGTATCCCGATTCGAATCATGGTTCGTGATTCGCTACAGTATTTTTTTTTATAAAAAATACATGTAAATTAAAAATAATTTTAATTTTATGATTCTAATACATGAATCAAACGTCTCCTTAATGAAAATAAGTAAAAGGGGTAATAAATAAACAATTTATAAGCAAGTCCTATCCTAGAGCACAAATCAATAAAGAGGAAGAAATCGGCTCAAAAAGAAGGTACGTGCAAAGCTATCGACAAGGGACCCCATAACACGCAATTATACCTCCAAATTACAATTCTTCAATTCCTTTTCCCTTCAACTTTACTCGATTTCCACCCTAAAAAAATATTACTCAATTTCCACGCTTTTTCTCTATTTTTCTGATTTTCTAATTTTGTTCAATCATTTTTTTTCGGCGCAGTGAATCAAAGTCTCAATTTGCTTTGCCGATTGCTGAAAACCTAACCGGATTTTCCCAATTTTTCGATTGTTTGATTCGATAGGCTGTGCTAAATTTATTAAATTTCACGCCCAAGTAGCTTTCTCGAGCGGAAATCCATCAATTTTTAATCAATGGAGGGGCATGATCATCTGAATTCTAAGATTGAGGCTGAAGAAACTGAGACTTTGGTTTCTAGGGTTTCCGGTTTCTCGCTGCGTGACGAAACCCCGAAGCAGAATCTCGATTCTAAGCGGGTAATGTTTCGATTTTTCCCATTTCGTGAATTGGGTTTTAGTTCATTTCTGTTTAATTGTTATTTTTTATTCGTTTCAAATGAAAATATGGTTTTGGGTATTTAAAGTTTGATAATATTTGAGCTTGATTTTCCTCAGAAGCGAGAACAATTAGGTTTCTTTTGTTGGTTATGAAAGCAAAGTTTTAAAGAAGAGGAATTCTCCATGAATATAGTCTTGTGAAGCTATTTCCTCTATTTTTGTTGATTTGTAGACTGTTTAGGTGTTTCTTCTCTTTTCTCACGCCTTTCACTGGAGGAGTTGCTTTGTGGCAATCAATAATATACAATACAGGATAGGAGTCTAATGAATTTAATTTTTCTATTTTGATTGGTCTAATGTTGATTACTGGCTTTTTGGCCTGGCAGAATAATAAGGGGCTTGAAAATCATAGAGAGCATGAGAGCAACGATAGAGTAGCATTTGGTGGAGTTGATAATCCAATGGCGGCAGAATCAAGAGCAAAGGACTGTGGTTCTGATTTGTCCCGAGGATCAATGGAAGAGAATGATGTGACTTTCTGTGGAACGCGAAGGAAATACTTCTACTATGATACTCCGCTTTCCGAAGAAACTGGGGTTTGGATACCTGTTTCTGTTCCTCCTATGTTGGAAACCGACCGCAAAGAGTGGGATAGAGGCTTCCAACTAAATGGGGGTTACTTCCCTGAGGGTGACATAGGATGGAATCACTTCATTGGAGAAGATAAGGAGATGACCATGTGGGATGTGATGGTGGAAATGTTGCTTGCTGCCCGTGGAAAAGTTAGTTCGTTTGCTTCTGGTGATATTCAAGGATGTACATTTTCATGGATATCAAGTAACGTACTTGAGCAGGCTTGGCAAGAGATTGCCCAAACTCTCACCGAAGCGAATTTTGCCAACGTGAGGGAAATCCTTGAAGCAGAGCCACCAAAATGGTTGGCCGATAGTGCTGCATCTGCTTGTATGTTATGTGGTGTGCGGTTTCATCCAATCATGTGCTCTAGGCATCATTGCCGGTTTTGTGGAGGTATATTTTGTGGCGAATGCTCTAAGGGAAGGAGCTTATTGCCAGCAAAGTTTCGGGTTGCGGATCCCCAACGTGTCTGTGATGTATGCTGTGTTCGGCTTGAGTCTGTCCAGCCGTCCTTAATGGACCAAGTGAGTCATGCTGCTCAGCTTCCAACACATGATCTTACAGACCTTAGTACTTTAAGGTCATGGGTTAATATTCCTTGGGGACAGTCTATGGAATATGAGATATATAAGGCAGCAAACACGATTCGAGGCTATAACACGGTAAGAGTCTAAAATTGTTGTGGTTTCAGTATTTCACTCATGTCTAGACTTTGGTGGAAGTCAAATGGCAGTGCTCACAGCTTTCATTTAAAAATGTCGTTTGTTAAAGTATTGGAGCTCCATCAACAAGCCTACTTTTTTTTTTCAGGAACTTTGTATATTAACCTAGGATTTTTCACTCTCTATAAAAGTTATCACCATCGAGACTCATAAATGCTAATATTCAGGGGGTAATTATAAGTTTGATTATCAATATGTATTTCTACTACTTACCCAAAAAAAATAAAAAATAAAAAAGATATCCACGTGTACTAGTTTATAGAACATATTTTTTTTTTTCCAGGTGTGTTCCTTGAAGCCAGAGAAATCAATTCCAGAAACCATTCTACGACAAGCAAAAGGCCTTGCAATAATCACTGCTGTGAAAGTTGGAGTTGTGGTTACCTATAACGTAGGTACAGGACTTGTGATTGCTCGGAGAGAAGATGGCTCATGGTCTCCACCTTCAGCTGCTTCTACATTTGGTATTGGTTGGGGAGCTCAGGTGAAGTACTCTATCTATAACAAACTAACTACTAGTATATTCTCACCTCGGGATTAGATATTTTTAAAGTTTTGTGTAATTAAAAGTAGTAATTTACCTGCACGTAAACAGAGATGGCTAGTTCACTGTGCATCTCTTTCGAAGTCCTACCAGGTGTATGATGATATCTATATTGACTTTTTCCCCCAACTGATTAATAGTCAGTCCCCTTTAGTTTTCTATTGGATAATTCAGAGGATGTCTCTTAGGTAATTTGACTCAGCTATACAAAAGTATATCCCAGATCTCTGATAAGCCACCGGTGCATTTCACTTACGTGAGGAGGAATAAAAGGCAAGGGCAAAATGGGAACTCTGAGGCAGGGCTGTCTAATGAAGAGTGATTAGGAAGTAGGAATAACGGTTTTTAGGCGGGAAATGAGATATAAAAGAGTGAAAGTAAATTGGGGAGAGTAGAGAATTGTTTAGTGAGAAGTTTGGAGAGTTCAGGTCTCTCGAATACCTGATTGTGAGAAAAGAATTCGAGAAGAAACTGTTTCATTCTTCCGATTGTGTGCTTAATTCAATAACACTTGCATAATAAAATCTTTTACCTTCGATTCTGTATCAAATTGGTATCAGAGCAACGATCTTGCGTGAATTGAGATGGCTGCCGGGAAAATGGAGGAAAGATTAGGTACCGTGGAAGAGCAGCTGAGTGCTGTTTGGGAAGGGATTTCGAAGGAAATGGAAGGAGTTAAGGACGATCTGCAAAAGATTCCTGCATTAGAGAAGAATGTGGCGTTAATTCTAGGTAAATTGGACTCGTTAATGCAGAATCAAAGAGGGAAGGTGATAAGCCACTAGTGCATTTCACTTACGTGAGGAGGAATAAAAGGCAAGGGCAAAATGGGAACTCTAAGGCAGGGCTGTCTAATGTAGAGTGATTGGGAAGTAGGAATAACGGCTTTTAGGCGGGAAATAAGGGTGTTATAGAAGAGTGAAAGTGAATGGGGAGATTAGAGAATTGTTTTGTGAGAAGTTTGGAGAGTTCAGGTCTCTCGAATACTTGATTGTGAGAAGAGTGTTCGAGAAGAAACTATTTCATTCTTCCGATTGTGTGCTTAATTCAATAATACTCGCATAATAAAATCTTTTACCTTCGATTCCGTATCAAATTGTTATCAAAGCACCGATCTTGCGTAAATTGAGATGGCTGCTAAGAAAATGGAGGAAAGATTAGGTACAGTGGAAGAGTAGCTGAGTGCTATTTGGGAAGGGATTTTGAAGGAAATGGAAGGAGTTAAGGACGATTTGCAGAAGATTCCTGCATTAGAGAAGAATGTGGCGTTAATTCTAGGTAAATTGGACTCGTTAATGCAGAATCAAGGAGGGGAGGGTTTGGAGAACAGGGAGACTAGGGCGGACCTACCTTTGCCCCACTCGAAGATGGCGGCGGAGAATGGAAGCGGAGGCGGATCGGCGTACGAGCATCGGAAAGGTGATTTTTGGTTTGGAGGATTGACGAGGCGGATAGAAATGCCGATTTTTGAAGGTACAAATCCATATGGCTGGATTTTTTGTGCCAAGCGATTTTTTGCCCTAAATCGCATGGGAGAGAAGGAGAAATTGGAGGCGGCGGCAATCAGTTTGGATGGTCAGGCATTGGCCTGGTTCCAGTGGATGGACAGACGCCGACCTATATGCAGTTGGTTGGAGTTCAAAAATTTGTTGCTCGACCGTTTTCAACGTTGCATGAGGGATCGAGCTGTGTGAAGTTCCTCGCTCTCCGACAAGAGGGAACAGTGCGAGCATATATACGGGATTTTGAGATGCTGGCCGCTCCTTTGACGGAGATTCCAACGGCGATCCTTGAGGGCAACTTCATCAACGGCCTTAAACCAGAGATTCGGGCGGAAATTTGCCTGCTACAGCCGAGTGGGTTGAATCGGATCATCGAACTAGTGCAGAGAGTAGAAAATCGTAATTTGGCCTTGAAAGTGGCTAAAGGAACGACAACCAGCACATGGATGCGACAATAGCCCCACACCCAGCCTTTTCGAAGCTAATCAATGAATATTCTCAAGATCGCCATGTCAAACGACAAGTCATATGGCCCTACCCCAAACGACAAGTCACTTCCTCCAACAAGTATGCCTTCTGTTAGGCGTTTCTTTGAAGCTGAAATTCAGAAAAGACGAGAAAAAGGCCTATGTTTTAAATGTGATGAAAAATATTTCCTTAGGCATGTTTGTAAGAATAAAGGAATTACAAATTTTGATTGTGGAAGAGGAAGAGGAATTTAGTCAAAATGAAGAAGAAGAAATTAAGGTAGTGAGTGAGGAGGAGGTAGTGTAATTATCCTTGAATTCGATGGTGGAATTACCAGTCTGAGGACCATGAAGATAAAAGGGAAGGTTGGTAGTCAGGAGGTGGTTGTGCTCATCGATTCGGGAGCTACTCACAATTTTATTTCCATGGAATTGGTGAGGAAATTATGCTTGCCGTTGACTACAACCCAGGAGTATGGGGTGATTATGGATTACAGGTAAGGTAGTGAAGGGAAGTGGGGTTTGCAGGGGATTAGTGTTGGGTTTGCAAGGTGTGGAGGTGGTTTGAGGATTTTTTGCTACTGGGAATGCAATGGCTAGGATCCCTTCGCAATATGACAGTTAATTGGCAAACCTTAACAATGAAATTCAAGGTGGGTGAAATGCCGATTATTTTACAGGGAGATTCGAGTTTAAGCAGAACATTGGTTTCCTTGAAGTCAATGATGAAAACCCTCAAGAAAGCAGGAGAGGGGGTTTTGTGGAATTGGGATGTGTACAGGTCTTGGAGGAAGGAAAGCAAACGCGAATTCCACAAGAGATTTCACAAGTACTTCAGCGGTTTGCTACTGTCTTTGAGAAACCGCAGGGATTACCGCCTACTCGGGTTCGCGATCATTCGATTTTGCTTCATGAAGAAACGTCTCCGATTAGAGTTCGGCCTTATCGTTATCCGCAGGTACAAAAAGATGAGATTGAGCGCTTGGTTAATGAAATGTTACAAGCGGGCATCATTCAACCCAGTGCCAGTCCTTATTCAAGTCCGGTGCTTTTGGTCAAGAAAAAAGATGAGAGTTGGCATTTCTGTGTGGACTATCGAGCTCTGAATCGCACAACTATTCCTGACCGGTTCCCTATTCCGGTGATTGACGAATTATTGGTTGAGCTGCATGGGGCGAAGATTTTTTTGAATTTGGATGATCGTTCTGGATATCACCAGATTAGAGTGCGCGCTGAAAATGTACCCAAAACAACTTTTAGAACCCATGAGGGGCATTATGAATTTTTAGTTATGCCGTTTGGTTTGACAAACGCACTTGCTACTTTTTAAGCTCTAATGAATGAGGTGTTTTAAGTGCTTTCTGCGGAAGTTTATGTTGGTGTTTTTTTGACGACATTTTGATCTATAGTGAGTCCTTAGAGGAGCATGTGGAGCATTTGCTTCGGGTTTTTGAGTTGTTGCAGCAACATAGTTTGCAGGTTAATGAAAAAAAAATGCTGCTTTGGACAGACTTCATTGGAGTATTTGGGACACATTATTTCTGCGGAGGGAGTGGCGGCTGATGAGCGGAAGATTGAAGCGATGTTGAAATGGCCAACGCCCAAAACATTGCGGGATTTGCGGGGTTTCTTGGGACTCACGGGTTATTACCGCAAGTTTGTCAAGAACTACGGGATTATCACATGCCCTTTGACTGATCAACTTAAAAAAGACCAGTTTGGGTGGAATTAGGCGGCGGATGAGTCGTTTGTGGCCTTGAAGAAGGCTATGACTACAGTTCCAGTGCTGGCTTTACCGGATTTTTCTCAGCCCTTTGTGGTTGAGACGGATGCATCAGGACATGGGTTAGGTGCCGTGTTAATGCAGGGTGGTCGTCCAATTGCCTTTTACAGCCATGTATTGTCCTCTCGGGCCAGGGCACGTTCTATTTATGAGCGTGAGTTGATGGCAATCGTGTTAGCCGTGCAAAAGTGGCGACCTTATTTGTTAGGAAGGCGGTTTCTCGTTCGAACTAACCAACAGCGTTTGAAGTTTTTGTTAGAGCAGCGGTTGGTAAGTACTGAGCATCAAAAGTGGATTACTAAATTGTTGGGGTATGACTTTGGCATTCAATATCGGCCGGGGTTGGAAAACAAGGCCGCTGATGCGCTTTCTCGCGTGGAACGGGCCGCCTCTTTATGCACGTTATCATATGTACAGGGCTTGGATTATGAGGAGTTACAGCAGCAAGTGCTATTGGATTCTCGGTTATCCGGGGTTTATCAGGCCTTGTTACACGGTGCCACCAGTTACCCGGGTTTTTCTTTGGAACAAGGCCAGCTTTTTTACAAAGGTCAGCTAGCACTTGCCAAGTCTTCTCCGTTTGTGGACACTATTAAAGGAGGCGCATGATAGCCCTGTGGCGGGCATTCGGGGGTTTTCAAAACTTATCGCCGCCCAGCCTCTACTTGGTATTGGGTGAGCATTTTTAAAGATATTAAGGAGTATGTTGGCCGCTGTTTGATTTGTCAGCGAAACAAGCATTCCAATCTGTTGCCCGCGGGGCTTTTGCAACCTCTACCAGTCCCGGATCAGATTTGGGAGGATTTGTCCATGGATTTTATTGAAGGCCTACCTAAGTCTGAAGGCTATGATACTATCGTGGTAGTGGTGGATAGATTGAGTAAGTATGCTCATTTCTTGGCACTTTGCCACCCTTTTACAGCTCCGGCCGTGGCTCATTTGTTTATGCAGGAGGTGGTTCGCTTGCATGGGATTCCCCGTTCCATTGTGTCTGACCGCGACAAGGTTTTCTTAAGAGGTTTCTAGACTGAGTTGTTTCGTTTACACAGAACATCACTCAAGCGGAGTACCGCCTACCACCCTCAAATGGACAGACTGTTGGAGGTGGTCAACCGATGTGTTGAGACGTATTTGCGTTGTTTTACGTCTGACAAACCTTGCCAATGGATGCGTTCCATTCCGCAGGGAGATTTCATACTGGAAATGCAATGGCTAGGATCCCTTGGCAATATGACAGTTAATTGGCAAACTTTAACAATGAAATTCAAGGTGGGAGAAATGCCGATTACTTTACAGGGAGATTTGAGTTTGAGCAGAACATTGGTTTCCTTGAAGTCAATGATGAAAACCCTCAAGAAAGCAGGGAGGGGGTTTTGGTGGAATTGGGATGTGTACAGGTCTTGGAGGAAGGAAAGCAAACGCGAATTCCACAGGAGATTTCACAAGTACTTCAGCGGGTTGCTACTGTCTTTGAGAAACCGCAGGGATTACCACCTACTCGGGTTCGCAATTATGCGATTGTGCTTCATGAAGGAACGTCTCCGATTAGAGTCTGGCCTTATCGTTATCCGCAGGTGCAGAAAGATGAGATTGAGCGCTTGGTTAATGAAATGTTACAAGCGGGCATCATTCAACCTAGTGCCAGTCCTTATTCAAGTCCAGTGCTTTTGGTCAAGAAAAAAGATGGGAGTTGGCGTTTCTGTGTGGACTATCGAGCTCTGAATCGCGCTACCGTTCCTAACCGGTTCCCTATTCCGGTGATAGACGAATTATTGGTTGAGCTGCATGGGGCGAAGATTTTTTCGAATATGGATGTTCGTTCTGGATATCACCAGATTGGAGTGCGCGCTGAAGATGTGCCCAAAACAGCTTTTAGAACCCGTTTGGGCGGCGGGTAATGATAAGCCACCGGTGCATTTCACTTACGTGAGGAGGAATAAGAGGCAAGGGCAAAATGGGAACTCTGAAGCAAGGCTGTCTAATGAAGAGTGTTTAGGAAGTAGGAATAACAGTTTTTAGGCGGGAAATAAGGGAGATATAAAAGAGTGAAAGTAAATTGGGGAGAGTAGAGAATTGTTTAGTGAGAAGTTTGGAGAGTTCAGGATACTTGATTGTGAGAAAAGTGTTCGAGAAGAAACTGTTTCATTCTTCCGATTGTGTGCTTAATTCAATAACACTCGCATAATAAAATCTTTTACCTTTGATTCTGTATCAATCTCAAATGGGGTTTTCAATCTTACAAAGTTGTAATATACTCCCGGCATTTGACCTTCTTTCTCCCCATCTTTTGCAGGCTGGAGGAGAATTGACGGACTTCATTATAGTTTTGAGGACAAGTGATGCCGTAAAGACTTTTAGTGGCAATGCGCATCTTTCTGTAGGAGCTGGCTTGAGTGCAGCTGTTGGCATTGTAGGAAGGGCAATGGAAGCTGATTTTCGAGCTGGAGATGGTGGCTATGCTGCTTGTTATACATATAGCTGTAGTAAAGGTTTGTTTTTTTTTTTTTTTTTTTTTTTTTTTTTTTTTTTTTTTTTATACGTTTTTTATGGAAAAGTTGTACTGTGTTCACAAAAGTTGGTAATTGATATTTTTCTTAAATGTTTCCTTTACTCATCTTTTACTTGTGCATTAAAGGCTGTCAGTTTTCATCTGTCACAATGACATCTGAACCTGGCGACAGTGAGAAACTAGTTAATAGATTCTGATATGGGATACTGAAGCTCTGTGATTCTAATATTGGATCTTAAAGTACTAAATATCCTTTGTCCGCGTCGTTTCGTTTAAATTTAGGGTTAACTGTAGCTTACTACTGTGATTTGCTCTCTATTATTTATCAGAAATTCCTGTATTATGTTGCATTTATTGACCAATTTTCAGTTATTAATTTGACAGTAAGAACAGAGTAACAGACAGTTTAGTGTTAGACGTCGTTGCAATCTAGCCACATATAGTGATCATTTGACAGTTCCTTACCACACATTTTCTTTTCTTTTCTCTTTCGTTGGCGTTATTTTTCTCTAAACTTTATATTTGCATCTTGTTGTTTCTCGACTTTCTGCAGGCGCATTTGTCGGATGTTCACTTGAGGGGAGTATTGTAACAACACGAACACGAGTGAATTCTCAGTTCTATGGCAGCCAGTCATTAACTGCGTCAGATGTACTTCTGGGTTCATTGCCTAGGCCGCCAGCCGCTGCCATCCTCTACCGTGCTCTTGGAGATCTGTATGAGAAGCTTGAGAGGTGATGTTACTAGCTTTCTAGGACAACAAATATCAATTATTTGTTCATTTTCTGTGAAACTATCAAGTTGTAAAGGTTCTTGCTGCCATTCTTTGTCCATTGACACTCTCTGGGTATATAGTAAAAATCCAGAAAGAAAGAAAGAAAAAATACTTTTCCTCGTAAAAGCAATGTATATAAATTTCAGCACTTGTTGAATTGGTCGTGCCTCATTGGCCTGTCTGTATATAATGTTTATTGGTGGCGAAAATTTATATATGTCAATTTCATTGTAGAAGGATAGGATTTATCGTCTGAGAAGCTCTAAAGTGCCCATGAATTAATCTTTTTTTTTTTTTCGTCGTATCGTTTATATATTGTGAAGCATTAATTTTAGTGAATTCTTTGCTGCATTTCTTTTCTATGTTTTTTTTAAATAGAAGAAAAATAGGGTCCGTTGGGTTCACCGACTTAAATTCTAATTATGATTCTCTTCTCTCAAAAAAATTCTAAATAAAAAAAGTGTTCGTGGTTCTCACAAAATTTAAATTCATAATTAAAATTAATGTTTTGAATTTATAAACTAAACAGACTGCATACCACGCAAGAACTCGTGACATTGGAAAATTTGTAGCATTTCAATCAAGAAATTTAATTTGCTCGAGCTCAAAAGAGATTACGTTTGCTATTAGCCATTCTGAAATCAAGTTCATTTCAATTAGTAAATACCTCTTTTGATTAAAGCAATCAGAAAAACTAAAATATTGTCATCCCGGAAATGGAAAGGCAAAAGGGCCACCACAAACGATGCTATTGAGTATAGTTTTGCAATTGTCTGCTTTTTGGCTGTTGTGTGATTCCATTTATTTTCCACGAAAATGCTAACCAAAAGCTCTAACTTTCTTTTTCTCTTTTCTTTTTTCCCCTGTATTGATCAAAAGTTTCCTCAAACTTTGACCGAGCTTTTCATATTGTGGTTGGAAAAGGGTACAAGAAATCAAATGCCTCCAACCCCATCCATAACCACCACGCATGCTCCACAATGATGGGGCTAGAATTGATTCCTCTCCAAAACGAGGGAAAAGATCCCTTTCATTTGGGTCTCCTCCTTTCTCTAGTCAATTTGTGTGGCATGGCCCGGCCTGTCTGTTTCACTAGAGTTTTTATACCTTTTTTTAAAAAAAAAAATTTGGGAATGATGCTTTTAGACTCTAGACCTTACAATAGAGTCAGATAATTGAATTTACTGTTAAGCTATACCTACAATCATACGAGAGATTTTAACTTTTTATACCTTGAATGATATACTTTTCTGCATTAACAGAATCTAGTTCAAATTAAATTCTTGTGAGCATGTATAGAGGATAAAGCACCGCCCAAAAATGCCTCTTCTAGAAAAATGGGCCGGCACCTACTACTACTAACCTATCATTCAGCTCTTCATAATGAGAGTTCAACTGTCCAAGCATTCAAAGAAACTGGTTTTTTTTTTCTGTCGTTTTTGTGAATTTATACATTGTGCCTATGGTGTTGCATTGAACAAATCGGGAAAAAACAAATATGTCCAATTCCAACAACCAGACCACTGTATCAAGACAGTCAAAATCCTTTTCAATCACAAACCCAACACATAAATAACAATCAGGCCAGTGTATCATTCTTTTTTAATTAAATTCCCTTTGGAAATAAAATAAAGACAAAGGGGGAAAAAAAAAAAAGAAAAAACAGAATGGAACAATGAATTGAACTAAAGGGGCAAAGCACCACCATAAACTATTTATAATTTAAATTTCAGTTATCTAATTTTCCCTGAAAAAAGTAAGAAAAAAAATGTGAAAGAAAAAAAAACAACAGCTGCTCCTACTCACTGTACTCCGGACATGCCGTTGAATTTCACGTCAACAGAAAACCTGATTCGAGAGAAACCATGCATATTTTCAAGTATCCCTATCTGCAACACCACCAAAAACAACTCACTAAAAAAAACACTAATCCACCATCTTTACAATTATTGATTCCATAAGAAAAATACATATGCATGGGATGTTAATTCCTTGGAGAATTCTGAATAGGATACGAAACAAAAATCCTTTTTTTTTCCTTACCCTGCTAGGGAATTCTCCAAATTCCTTTTGTAACAACTACTTGTCATGGTAAAGATGATAAAATATAGATTTAACCTTACGTAGAGTCTTTTGACGATTGCAATATATATTAAGTTAGGATCTCTATATGACAGCACCATACCTTTTAGACGTTTATAGTTATTCAAAATTACATAAAAAATGAACAAAAGAAAAATTTGCAACATTGATCTCTACCAGTATTATTTACTTTTCTTTTCATAGCCTACCATAATATTCTGATCAATGGAGTTAACTCATAATAAAACCTAGTAGGAATAATAAACGATGTAATATCATTTGAGCTATGTGTTGCAAGAAAAAATAAATAAATAAATAAATGGAGCTACTAATACCAACTGACCTGGTCCTAGAGTTCCCAAGCGTGAGTTCAAGATCATCAGACACACATTCCTCGATCCTCTCACCCTCCCAAGGTTTGACCAACCCCCCCGTGGCAATCGCATTACACCCAAACGCAAACTCAGCAGCCATGTTCCCATCACACATCGGCACATCCGCCGTGTTATCAGCCCCCGCAGCCACCGCCGGCGAGCAAGTCCCGCTCTGCCCAGGCGTCCACATCCTCGACCCTCCACCAGACATGGCCTCTTCCTTAAACCCAAATGGATTTCTCGAGACAAGGCTGAAAGTCGGCGAGGAGGGCCCACTTTGTGGTATCTGAAGCCCAGCAAGCCACCCCGAGTCCGGCAGCACCTGGCGACCTGGGCTTGGTGGGGTGGACGAGGGTAGAAATGAGGAGGTGGGCCCGGCCCAGTTGGGGCGGTCGTCCCAGTCGGATTTGATTCTGGGGGTTCTTGAGGTTGGCGAGCTGAGTGGAGGGGTGACGGGAGCGCTTATGGAGCCGCAGTGGACGAAGAGGTGGTGGGGGAATTTGGATGTGGCCGAGGATGAGCCTGAGGACGAGAGGTTTTTGAGCCATGGGATTAGGGAATTTGGGTCGTGATTGGTGTTGTTTGTGCTTGTTTTGTAGTGGGATGAGACGGGACTTGGGAAGGAAGATGAGGCGGGGCTTGGGTTGTAGGAAGCACATGGACTTGGTTGGTATGATGAGCATGGACTTGCTGATGTTGAACCTCCCATTATGTCCATACGGTCCAGTACGGGTTTGGATCCCTGCAAAAATAATGTAACATATTATGAGCATTTAATAATGTCTATGTTTATGTGTAATGTGTTTCAAGAAATTCTAGTTTGCATAGGAATATGATGTTTTTTTGTTGTGTTATGGAGAACATAATGTGAATTTGTGTTGTTTAAGAACCGACCCGCCATGTGAATTGGTTATAAGAAGTGGATGCATATGCCACATTGGAAAATTGGAATATGAAAATAAGATGCACTAGCACTAAACTTCTCGAGAGGATTTCGAGACGTCTACTTAAAAGAAGAGCAATTAGCAATATTTGGTAATCATCCACTGGTGATCATGATCTACAACAAGCTCCTAAGAAGTGGCGGTTTTAAATAATAAGTCAACCAACTAATTAAAGGAAGAACGAGAATAATGTACCTTTTTTTCTTTTGGCTCACACTAGAATAATGTACTTAATTAGCTTCCTTGAACTTTCCAAGTATTCTCAAATCACATGTTATGGACACTTTACTATTTCACACCAAGTTGTACTAAGCCCTCTCTCTCTCTCTCTCTCTCTCTCGGCTGATTATAGGATCAAATAAAAATATAATTCTCAGAATTGCAAAGAGAAAAATTAAACATCAAAATTAGCTTCGGGTCCATAACATCCCAAAGAAAGAAAGAAAAAAAAGAAAGAAAAGAGAGGGAAAAAAAAAAAGATAAAGACTGTTTTTGTCCTTTCGGGGTAGAATTTCATAATGGGGGTACTTCACCAACATATACAAGTGGTCCTAGAAAAATGTTAGTATAGAGTTAATCATTCAGTCAAAGAGGATCTGTTTGGCGAACATTGGACAATGCTAAGCTGGCAAATAGGTAATTGTAGCCAAAACAAAGCTTTCATCAAAAAGGGCAAAAACAAAAATGTCAAACAACAACTAAGTCACAGTTGAACACAAAAACACGCCATCGCCCAACATTTTTTCCTCAATCAAAATCCCCCCACACGCTTTACTGCCTCAAATTATTAATTATATAAAGAGAAAAATAAAAAGAAGAAAGGAATCCAAGGATTCTAAAATATCTCTTCCACACATAATTTAATCTCAGTAAGCAAAACCACTTATTTTTTCAATAAAATAATAGTAAAATAGAAGCACTAGCCCACAAAGCCATTACCATCATATGCATGGTCTCCAAATCAAACGAGAAGAAAGGGTAGTGAAATTTTCCCCCGGGAATCTCGGAAACAAAGGAAAACAGAAAAAACACAAATTATTAGAGGAAAATCACCGGACGGTGCGTCAAAATGACCAATTTGACCTCAGGTTCGTAACAGGGTTCAGAGCCATTGAATGGGTAGTTTCGGAATAAAAGCTGTCTGAGCAAATACTAATAAATAAACAAAAAGAAAAATGGATTTTTTTTTCTTTTTTTTATTAATTTTCAAGAAAATGGCAATCTGCAGCGAAAATCTGAAATTTCAGAGAGCCCGGGAGAAAGGAAACAGAGAAACAGTCGCAGACTGAGAGAGAGCAAAAGAAACATCCAGTTGCATTAAAGTCCACTGAAAAAAGAAAAATGACTCGATCTAAGCAATGGAAACATTTTGACCCTAAATGACGATACTACCCCGACAAAACATCCTGAAATTGGATGACTAATCGGAGTAACGATGTAATTTCGACAATTTTGTAGGGGGCATTTCGGGATTTGGAAAAACTATTTTTTCTGTGAGTTTTGTCTGTAGAGTCTCAGAGAGTTTGTTCATCGTATTCTGTATTCATATGAGGCTCATCACGTAAAAAAAAAAAAAAAAAAAAAAAAAAAGAGCAAAGTGAATCTCAAATATCTTCGTGCTTCGTGCGCACCACAAGCAAACAAAGAGCTCTGCGCTCTACTGTGCGCGGGTGGGCTAAGAGCACAACCAGATCGCGATTCTAAACGTTAGCGCATATCACAAATCGGCGCACGTTAGCGAACCCACCGATCAGTTAATTTTGGCGATGGCCGGCGCATTTTTACCGCTAACGTGCGCACGCGCCTGAACAACGGAAGAGAACACAAAACGACGTTCTTGGTTTAGCTCACTTACCTTTCTGTAGGTGGTGCCGTCTTCTTCGACGGTCCAACCGGCTTCGTTGCAGAGAGCTTTGAGGACCTCGTTGTTGTCGCAGTGCTTCGGAAGCTTGTAGTTGCCGTATTTTCTCAGGCCGGTATAGATCTTCGCCGCGATGGCTCTCCTCCGTCTCTCTCTCCTCTTGTTGTTCTCTCTCTCCTTCCACGTCGGCATTCTCGTGCCGGACGTCATCGTCGCCGGATTTCACCTCGAATTTTCTCGGAAACCAAACAGGCCAGCTCGATCTGAGAACCGGACGGAAAATCGGATTGGTCGCCGGCGAACCGGATATTGGTGGACTTTTTGGTATAAAATGGGTTTAGTCAGAGAAGAAGAAAAATTGGTTAATCAAAGAAGAGGAAGTGTGGTGGTTTGGGGATAGTTGGGCTAAATACATGATTTGTTTGTTGTTAATATTGACCATGTAATTTATCAGAATTTACGAAGAGAGCCACTTTCTTCTTTTCTTTTTTTCTTTTGTTTTATTTCTCTTCTCCGGAATCACGGGGCTAAACACGTGTTTAGGCTTTTTATAAAGAGAGATAAGATGGTGGTGTGGTATTTGGGGGTGTAGCTTTTTCGCGGTAGTTTCTACTACGAGATCATGTTCTGCTGAAATACGACGTCGTTTCAGCTTTTTGTTTCAAACTGTGTACACGAGCTAGTTCATGTTATCATCAGATATTCAGATCATTAACGTTAGATCCAAAACTATATGGATGGATGGTTGTGATCATATATGACAGATGTTAATGTTCTGCTGAAATACGACGTCGTTTCAGCTTTTTGTTTTAAACTATGTACACGAGCTAGTTCATGTTATCATCAGATATTCAGATCATTAACGTGAGATCCAAAACTATATGGATGGATGGTTGTGATCATATATGACAGATGTTTGAAGCAAAACGCTTTTTTGAAAAAAAAAAAAAGAAAAAAAAAAGGTAAGGCTGGAAATTTAAAATAAAGTAAAAGAGTATGAGCATGATTAGAATTTGTTATAAGAGTAACCCTATTTGTGTCCATGGGGATATCTCTACTTTCTCATAAAGAGTATACTTCATTAGTGGATCTCACATATGTTCTATAAGTGGCCTCACCTTTAATGAGATAGTGAGGATATATTTCTATCGGATTATACAACATTTTTCAAAGGTCAAATTAACTTTTGGGGCAGTAAAGAAAAAAACTCGTTACAATTAATATATGGCTTCGATAGATTCACTCCCAAATATATACAAAAAAAAAAATGACATTTTTTTTTTTTTTTTGGTGTAGACCAAGTTATACATTGAATAAATACAAATTGGTAGAACATGATGCTGTCTAAGAATATATCTTTGAATATGGGCCTGTGCATATAGTGATTAGAACATATAATAAGCTGAACTTAATTTTGGATAAATATTACTAGTAGACACTAGCATACGCATACGATATAGTTCATGGAAAAGAAGTAATTAATTACATTGTTCTTGACTTTTTTTTTTTTTT